CAGCTTCCTTGGGAGGGTGTTAAATCATTTCTTTGCTACAGGAGTGATGTGAGCGTAATACTAAGCAGATTCTGCAGTAGCACCATATGGGTTGCTTTTGCCCTTGGATGGGAACAGGATTCTGTTTCTAATCAAGTATAATTCAGCATCAGCCTCAGCAAATTGCAGGATGTGTCAGTGCATTGCAAAGTTTTATATATATAATTTTAAAATGGGCTTTTAGCAACTTAGTATTAATGTGCTGGAGCCCTGAGGTTTGCAGAAGGAAATGCAGTGAAAGGCACCTTTTTGAAAAGGGCCAGGGGACAATCTCTTATTTCTCTTCTCCCAGCACTGCTGTCTCTGCTTCCCCCTGGTCTTCTCTGGCTGTTTATAGGCAGGCAGGTCCCAGGTATTTGCTTCGGAATGAAAAGGGCAGCCTGTTCCATCTCTGAATTGCCTGTGGTATCTGGAAACAAGGAGAATTTCTTGCATGCTGCAGAAAAAGCTGGCGTGTCCCACCAAGAGGAGTGAGCAGCAGTGGTGCTGCAGGGCTGCCCACCCAGTTCAGAGCCTGTGCTTGCCTTTACCACCGTTCCCACATCACCCGCTGGCTTTTCATGGAGATGACGTTCAGCAAGTGCCAAAAGTGTGCCCTACGAGGGCATGTTGTGTAGCCCGAACTACAGATTCCCTCCCAGAGGTTCAGCACCCGGAGTGCTTGCAGGCTTGGAGCCCTCTGATGGCAGAGCACAGCCAGGCAGCTGCAGCAGCCTCTTGAAGGAATTCCTCCTTGTGGTACAGGACCGAGGTGAGATACTGTGTTTGTGGGGCTGATATAAATAAGGGAGAAGTGGGTGCAGGCTGGCTGGAGCTGTTGGGAGGCTTTGAGTGATGCAGGTGCAGCTGGAGAGGCTTGCAGGGAATCCATCCTGGGACCAGCCACAGGTCACAGGCACCTTCTCAGGAAGCCCCAGCTGCTTTTTTACTGCTTCTGCTTTCCAGGCTTGACTTTTAGGGGTGATTTCTGTAACCTTTGAGCTCCCCCTTGGCCTTTAGGGTTTGACCAAGTCCAGCTTTGGGTTGTGGGCAGCCTCGCTAACACAAGTCATGGTGGAAGCATAGCACATGCGCCCTCCCCTGTCGTGCCTGCTCTGTGAGGCTCAGCAGAGAGGTATTTCTGGTGCACTTTGGGGTCTTTGCCTAGGAGATGCCCTACAAATCCATGGGATAGCTCTCCAGATGCAGATAGGCCTGCAATACCGTTACCTTTCCACAGAAGTGAAGGATGGCTCTAATAAAACCAGATTTATCAGAGTGCTCCAGAATCAGCCTCTGGCCTGAGGGCTCGGTAATATCTTACACGGCTTCGTTTTCATTATGGAGCAGTATTGATTTCCCTGAACTGGGTCTGTCAGCACAGCCAGTGCAGGGCAGCCTGGGGCCTAGGGAAGTCGGCACAGCGAGCTGCTGGCCTCTGCTTTTAAGGGCAAAATCATTTCCAGACAACAGCAACGACAGGGACGGTTTCAGCAGTGTGTCGAAGCGACTTCAGCGAAGCTCTCTGCTTTCGCCAGCTCTGCTTTCAGCAGTTCTGCATCGATTTCAGCTTTGGGAAGGATGCAGACAAGGACCTGTACATGGGAACCGCTGTGTTTTGGCTGTTGGTGCCCCCCTTGTGCATGGTATGTGGCGAGGTGGGGAGCAGCAACGGGATGCTCCTTACACAGCACCCAAGGAGGGCACTAAGGGGAGGTCCTGGGCTGATTTAAAAAAAAAAGAAATAAAAAGAAATCCCCAAGCTCTCATGGAACAGGTTGAGGTGCAGCAGTACAGATAGCAGCAAAGCTGATAATGAAAGTTACATTTCTTTGAAGCACATTTGGGGTTTTTATGTAGATGTTGAAATTGCTTTCTCTTCCGCACTGAGCCCGATGCAGCCCAGCTCCTGCTTGCTTGCAGCGATGTCCAAACATGCCCTTAGTGCTGAGGACCAGGACAAGCGGTGTGCTCCTGGGGTCTCTGTCCTGCCCTCCAGTGACACTAAGCAGTGGTTTTAATGAGGCTGCCTTTCAGCCCTGTTGTTCTTAATCTGCAGGGGGCGAAAGTTGCTCCCAGACACCTTGGGCTGGTGAAATGAGCAGGTTGGTGTGTGCTGGGGGTTGCTTCTCATTCTGTTTTGACTGTCTGTGGCTTTCAGCTGCCCGAGGGTGGCTCAGCGAGCTGTGAGCTCCTCGCAGCGTTGTCCCTCCTGTGCTGTTCCTGGCAGTCTGGAGGGCACTGTTAGTGCTTGGGTTTTATTTCTGAGGTGCGTAGCTCTCCCTCTGCATTTCTGCAGGGATAACAGCACCGTTTCCTCTGCATGCTGTACTGGAAACACGGATCTCACCGGTTTAATAAGGACCTGCTGGCTCCTCTCACATCGCGTGGCAGCAGTGCCTGTGTCCCCGCAGGGATGTCCCACGGCGTGGCTGCTCTGCCTCCTCCCAGCCCTGCTGTAAGCTGCCAGGGACTTTAAGAATTGTGCTTCCTCAGAGCAGAAAAGGGATTTTAAGTTGCCTTCATCAGGTTAGCAGCTCCATACCAAATCATTTCCTGGCAGATGTGAGCTGATGTTGTTCATGTTAGTAGCTGTGATGGAGCCTCACTCACTCACTTACAGCTGGAGCTCGGTGCCCAATTCCTGTCCCTCTCTCTTCACGGCTCTTCCCCTGCACAAGGCGGGCAGGCAGCAGCGAGGCTCCGGGGATAGCTCAAGTTTTTCAGGCCAGCTGGCACAAGAGCTGCGTTGCTGTCACCCACACCTCACGGCAAAGCAGCGCGGGGTGCGTTGGGCTGGGCTCTGCTCCTGTAAGGCCAGACTGTCCCTGTCCCTAAAGCTCACGACAAGCACGTGGAGGTCCTGTCCTGAAGGCACAAATGGTCACTGCCCCTCGTGTTCGGCTGTGGTTTTAGCGAGGTTGGGTTCCCAGCTGTTCACTCCACGTCCGTGTTGCTGCAGTGCCCGGACCGAGGTGGGCGCTGAACAAGCACGGAGCAGCCGGCAGGACCCCACAGCTCCTGTGTGCACGGGGCTGCACAAAGGCAGGGAGGGCGTTTTATGAGCTAAATAGTCCGGGGGGGGAGGAAAACAATACAAATTTCAGAGTAGCTGCTTCCCTTGTGTGAATCCTTCCGTGTTCAGACCAGGGGTGAGCTTCTGTGGTCCATGCGTTTTTGTGCTCTGTGTATTTGGAGGTGTTGGGGAGCTCAGCTCTGTGATGCCAGGCGTGTTCCTCAGCAGCCTTCACCCAGACACCTGCATAGAGGCAGCTCACCACTTCCTGAAGGGAAATGTCGCTTCTCCCCCCTCCTCGTTTTCTCCTTTTTTGCCATGATTTTTTTTTTTTCTCCCTCAATTACCATGAGGAAATGTCAGCCTGCCACCAGCCGTGCTGCACAGCAGATGTCTGCTCGTAATTGCTGCTGTTACAGGGTGTTCGCTGTTTATCCTGACTGTCTAGCCGGGCTGGTACAACGCTAACTGCCTCACGGCACGAGCACAGAGCTGCTGCACATCTGGAAGAGGCTGTAGCCACCAGAGCTGTTAGCTGAGGCTCTCCAGCCAGCTTTTTTCTGCTGTGGCTCGAGCTCAGCTCTTAGGGATGGAGCATCCCACTGAACCTGTGGGTTTGTGCTGCTGGCCCAAAAACTTCACCCATCCAGCCTCGGTGTGCTGCCAGGATGAGTTATGTGAAGGTGAGCCTAGGTCTCTGCCTGGCTTTGAGGCTTTTTGTCATGTGCCAGGGGTGGCACCTATCAGCAGTGCTTCAGAATCTGAAGAGGTCCTTGCAGAAGTCTGGGAAAGGTGGTGAAGATCAGAGCATTTCTTTTCCTGTTCCGTAAAGTCTCCTGTGTTCTCTGCGCTTCTGCTTTTGGGGCCATTTCATGTTCTGAAAGAGTTTTTTGGTGTAAATTTTCTCTCCGTGTTCATGAGAAGTCAGCCACTTCCCTACAACTCCCCGCTGCATCTTCCCACCGACGGCTTTATTGCAGCTGCAATATTGCTTCACAGATAGCTTGTAAGGAGAGGGATTTTTATTATTTTTTTTCATTTTCAGTGTGTCTCGGCCTCCAAGCTCTTTGCAGGGGTTTATTTCATTTTGGATGTACAAGCAGTTCCGCTGGTGCCTGCAGTTGACCTCCTGGAGCTGGGACAGAGCTGGAGGCTTTGAGGCAGCCCCGCAGAGCGAGAGGCACGTGTGGGAACAGCCTGTGCTTAGCAAGGGCTCCGGGGCAGAGGTTTGGACATGGATCTGGGTGAAAAGGGGCCAGAGAGCAGTAGTGGAGATTTGGGATGATGCAAAAAAAAAATAATTAAGCTTATTTGCTCACCTCATTACGATATATGGCTGGGGAGAACCTGCCTTTTCTGGCATGCTGGAACCAAGCAGCTGAGGATTGCTCCATGCTCAGAGGTGTCTTTCGACCTGGAAGCACCCCGTGATTTCTGAGTTGTCCAGCCTCGTTTGTCACATTGTCACATTTTGCCTAAATATCTCCTCCGGGCCTGTTTCATTTTGCCTGTGGTTCTGCTCCTTTTGCTTAGCTTTACGGCACCACAGCTTTGAATTAAGTGAACTGAAAATTAGCCTCTCTACCTGGAGCCCATCAGTCTTTAATACTGCAGGCTGCCTGGCCCATCATCTGGTCCAATGAAGCCACACAAATCTGCAAGGTTTGAACGATTCGCTTCTCTGACTGCTCTGCACTGCTTGGGTTGTTTCTGGGCTCACGCGTGGGTTTTTTGTGCAATTGCTGGTGACAGATGTATTCCTCTGAGCGTTATGCTCTGGTGAACATCCCAGCGAGGCACTAGAAAGGAATAACTCGAGCAAATGGCACCTGTGCTCCATTCTACGTGCCTACACAGCAGCACCTTTCAGGGATGTGTGGGCCTGCACTGCTATTTGCATCCCCCTGGCAAGGTGTCCTGTGGGTGTGTTTCCTGCCGCAGCCCATTCTGCTGTCTTTTTTTTTAGTGCACTACCAGAAGATCATTCACCGGGACATCAAGCCTTCCAACTTGCTCTTAGGAGACGATGGGCACGTCAAAATCGCGGATTTTGGAGTCAGTAACCAGTTTGAAGGGAACGACGCCCAGCTCTCCAGCACAGCAGGGACACCAGCCTTCATGGCACCAGAGGCCATTTCTGACACTGGCAAAAGTTTCAGTGGAAAGGTAGGTGTCTAGTCACAGCCAGAGTTGCCCAGGACCCCTCAGACACAGCACAGAGGGCAGCACCACGCCTGCACCCTTTGTGTTGTCCACCCGGGCACTGTGCTGCAGACTGGGGTTGTTATTAAGTAAATCAAAGCTCTAATTCTGTGCTCAGGTTAGGCAAAACTCCCATCAGTTGTTCTGCGCAGCGGGTAGATGGACTTTGCAGGCCCTTGTTGAGACAGGAGGCAGGTTTGAGTCCAGCAGGACCCTTCCCCTGCCCAAAGAGGAAAGGCCAAAACTCCCCGTTCCTTACCAAAACAGTCAAGATTCAAAGGGGAGAGCTGGTCACCAACATCATGTCATGGTACCCTGAAAGTGAGGAGCACCGGTGAATGCTGTGATGCAGGCGTGGGAATAGGGGCCAGTGGTTTGATTTGGGGCTTTTTTTTATTTTTTTATTTTTTTCTCAGAAGAAGGCTTGAGGTTCAGCTCCTCATTGAGGTCCGGCCTTGAACCATTTTATCCTGTAAGAACAAGGGGCTGCTAGCTTGTTGCTGCCCTTGTGGTGAGGACAGGGGTGGCAGCGTGTGGCCTGGCACAGTGCCCTTCCCCCAGGACGGTTATAGCTGCCTTTAGGAGCCCAATTTCAGAGAGACTCTGCAATAAAATTAAGCATAGTAAAAGTTAAACGTGTACAAATAATCTTCCGTGAGTCAGTGGGAAAATCCAGCCCGTTCAGATCATCTCTGGCTTGCATCTAATTTACTGCCTGCCCTTGTTCTCTTTCAGGCACTTGATGTATGGGCCATGGGGATCACCCTGTACTGCTTTGTTTACGGGAAGGTAAGCTGGCTCTCAGATGCTCTTGGCCCTGCCTGGCAGTGCCTGCCCGCCTGTCTTTTGACTCATTCCTTTCCAAATAAAGGCAAATGTTAGGAGCAAAGCCCTACTTTCTGCAAGCTCCAGTTATCCCAAATCGCCCTGCCTGTGAGAAAGGGTTTCTAGCCCCCTTAACTCAGCAGTTGTTCATTGCTACAAGCCCAGAGCAGCACTGGTAGCACAAACAGCGGCTTGTGGGGGGCTGTCTGGATTGCCTGTGTTCAGAAACAAGCCAGAAAAAGCTTGGAGGGAGGCATAAATTTAATCCCAAGCCACTGCAGAGCGCTTCAGCAAAACATATTACAGGAAGCTTTGTCTGCCAGAGCTGTGTTGGGCCAGATGGAGCCCGGCTTGGCTTTGGCAAATTGCGTGTCCTGTCATGGCCTTCCCCTCGCCGGTGGTCACAAGCTCCCAATCCCACCCACTCGCTCCCAGGACGAGCAGCAAGGCAGGTGTGTGTGGTGCCCGTATGCAGGTGTGTTGCTGAACCTCCTGTCCCAGCAAGGATCACAGCACACGGGCATAAAGCCTTCAGCTCAGGGGTAAAAGTGCCTGGAGAAGGCAGCAGAAGCAGAACTATCTCCATTGCTGGTGTGGTACTGCTGAACTAAGCCGGGGTGGAAAACGGTCTCTGAGCTGTGTCTGTAATGTCTTACTTGGGCCAAATCCTGAGGTGCAAACATTGTTTTTATATTCTGATATAATCTTGTGATTATATTACTTACCTATGAGCTGAGGGGTGTCACAGTTGGGTTCTGGATCTGTTAGGTCCCTCTGCTGTTCTTCTGCATTGTTTGTTTGTTTTTTTCTTTTTTTTTAAAAAACGAAGAAATCAATTTGTGCAAGGAGAGGTTTTACTCATTTCCATCTCTGTGTGAAGTCCAGATAGCGCACACAGAGTGCACTTGTGCTGCTTGAACGACAAACACTGAAGTGGTGCCAAGACCTGTGACAACAGGAAAATCTTTTGTTTGTTTTGCAGTGCCCTTTTATCGACGAATATATTCTAGGTCTTCATAACAGGATCAAGAACAAGCCTGTGGAGTTTCCAGAAGAGTAAGTAAACTTTCCTCAGGTGCTGTAAAATAAACTTCAGCCTTGCTCACTGTGCAGCATGAAGCAGGTGACCGGTGGGTCACCGCAGAGGGGCAGATGAAGGCAGGTGAGGTTCTTTGTGTTCTCCTGGGTCCTTCACATGAGTTCTGTGCCACCGCTGCTGTCAAAGCCCTACAGCATTACAGACAGCGAGGGGAGAGCGTTTGGGGTCTTGCCAGGTGAGCCTGGCAGGAGGTGGCTACGCTTGGTGTGTGCTCAGTCCATGCCGCTGCGACACCAAACCTTCCTCTGAATGCTTTGGCTGCTCCTCGGCATTTCCTCCATCGCTGGGCACTCTGATAGTGATTAATTTGCTTCTGCTGCTCGCTATCAGATGAAGCAGCCAACGCTGGAGTTCTTGTCTTCCTTCCCAAGTCAGCACAGTAGTCAGGCAAAGAAAATTTGACCCTTCTTGACCTAAGAGTTCATTCTAATAAAAAAAACAGAGATAAAATTACTTAATTTAAAACAAGCATCAAGGAATTAAGACCCTAATGAAAGGCACATCTGGTATTAGAGAGGGAGGGAGGGATATTTCCAGACAGCCCCAGATAATGTGCAAATAACCACTGTTATCATAACTGTTACGTGAATGATTTGCAAGATGCTCGCTGAATTTTAAGACACCTACAGTGAGGGGCTGGGCCTCTGCCTCAGCAATCCCAGGCTCCCTTCTGAGCGTGCAGAGGGAAATGGCCATGTAGGCTGTCCTATTTTAGCCATCTGCTCTGGCTGGCTGACTCACAGCCCAGGTCTGTGTTAATTACCTCCGCGCTGACTGTGAGGCACGGGCGCTGCGGGTAGCTCGGGGGAGCCATCTCCACTCAGGCAGATAGGGGCACGGTGAGCAATGGGCAGTACCCCTCTGCCCCAAAGGACCTGTGGCCACTTGTATCTTGGCAAACACAAGCCCCAGTCATTGGTACGGAGCAATTCTGGCAGCCTGGTGCTGTTGGGGAGATTTTGCAGGAAACCAGGCACCGAGGGCACGAAGGCGAGCTGTGCCGCATCGTTGGTCTCCCACCGGTTGGTCTGCAGCCAGGGCTGCCCTTTGTCTTAACAGCAGTAGCACCAAAAAAAAAAAAAATGTTTGTTTCTCTGGCAGCCCTCTCTCTGCTTGCTGGGGTGCTGGCGGGGTGCCCGTCCTCAGCGTCGTGTGTTCGGGTTCGCAGCCAGCTCACAAGCGACCGTGCCCATCTGTCTGTGCAGCAAGCTATTAACGTTTAATGGGCTAACGGGGCTGTGCTAAGAGCACTTTCTTCATTCAGACGTTTTCTCCAGCCGTGTGATTTATTTGGATTTCTCGGCGACCTGCTCTCCGTCTAAAACCAAACTCCACCCCCGTTAGGCTGCTGGGTAGCAGAGTTGCTGGGTGTTGTCGCCTGTCTGAGCCGGGTCTATTTGTTAGATAAAGGCAGCGACGCGGAGGCGCGCAGGGCTGGAATGCACTGGCCTGAATCCAGCCTGACCTCCCGTGGAACTAGCACCTCGTTACGGTTGGGAATATTTTGGTTGCGATTTATTTCACCATGGCTACGAAAGCCACGTTCCTTTGTGCAGACAGCCCATGGAAATTCATTGCCTGTTTCCTGACAACCCGCAGGACAGAGATGAAGCTGACTGTACTTGCGCTGTCGTCCCGTCCCTTCCCTTAGAGACACGGGGATAAATATTTATTGCTCCACAGTTCTCATTCACTTCTGTCAGCCCTCGGCATGACACAGGGTGAGTGGGGTTAGCTACAGCTCACACCCCGATGATCCTGGCACCACTAACAGCAAGCTGGAGAAGTTTCTGTCCAGGCATGTATCGAGAGAGCCAGAAGCTGTGCCTCGTTCCTGCTGGTGAGGAGCTGAAGTTCAGGGCAATGTTCTCTGCCCTCGGTGTCCGTGGGCACCCTGTAAAATGTTGTATGGGGTTGGCAGCCCTCCCAGCTAGGTGCTGAGCTCTGTGGTGCCTGGCATCTTCCTGAGAGCTGTTACAGGACAAATTCTGACAAATTCCAGATAACACAGGCTTTTCAAGGGAAAAATGCTGTCGGGTACAATGTGCACCCTGGCAAAACGGAGAGAAGGGAAAACAGAAGCAGGGTAAGGCAGCTCAAGGTGTTACCGACCTGGAACCCACCTGGGACTCGGTGATCTTGTTCACGGGGCTTTTCCTTGTGGCATCAGTCCTGTTGCGTAGAAATCAGTCTGGTAACCAAACTCGTTAGCTGATGATATAATCTTAAAATACAGCCTTGCCCTGCTGTTAAGCTGTTGCTGTTCTGGCACAGGTCTGCTGCTGTGTTTCACAAACCTCGTTGTGCTGCTGTCTCCGTGCAGAGCCTGTTTGGTCCGACCTGCTGCAGGCACTGCCGCCCTCCATGGCTGCTCCTCTGTGCCTGGATCTCATCTCGAGCAGCACAATCCTTCCCATTCCCACCTAAAATGTCACTTGAGGTACAGCCTCAAGTCTCTGGGGGCTCATCCTGCCACTCTCCTTGTTTGGGCTGTATTGTACCCACCTTCTGCTCTTTCCCCCCGAACAAGCAGCGTTCCCTTGGGATTGTTTGTTAAGGATCCCATAGCCCAAGTGCACATAAAGTATTCATAAATTATTGAACAGCAGCTCTGTTTCCCTAAAATATCCCTCATTCAGGTTTATGGTAGTTTATTCTTTCTTCTTCTCGGGGAAGGCAGGGAGGAGGTGGGCACAGCACCAGGTTCTCAGCAGTGTTTTGAATCTGAGGGCAGCGCGGAAATGCAGCCCTGCTGGGGAATGGCATTCGTGCTGCCAGATCCCATCTCCCTGCAAGTCATTTGTGATACAGACCTTCAGCACCTAACGCACTCCTGTCGTACGCTGGCACTTTATGTCAGCAGCACTTTGATCATACAGACCGAGTGTGTTTAAGGACGTCGCCTGCATCACTAACAGCAGAAGTCAGCGAAGTCTTTGGATAAGAAAGACTGCAGGAGAGCCAGCAGGGCCAAGGGCTTTAGGAGAATAGGGGTGGCTTCTGGGTTCAGGCACTCATTTAGTCTTAGAAATGGTCCTAAAAACTCAGATGCATTTCTCTCTCTTCGTCACATCTGTTCATTCCCTATTTTGATATCCCAAGGCTGAGCTATAAGGTAGGAAATACTGAGTTACAAACTGGCTGCCGCCAGTGTTTGTGGAATCAGTTTCACCAACAACCTGCACGCTTAGCTGGGCAGAAAGGTCCCCATTTGAGATTCCGGTCCCAGCACGTTACAGCTCATGGTGCAGGTTCTGCACATCAGGTTCTGCCCCCCCTGGTATCACGGAACCCAGCTCCAGCTCTGCCTTCCACAGCACTTTGTTTTCACAGAATCTGTCCTCTGAAATTCCCCAATAATGTGCTGTCTTTAAAAATGTCCTTAAATCCATTTGCCTGATCCCTTGCCCTGCCCTTTGAGAGCCTGCAGCTGTGTTAGCAGACAGAACAGGAGACCTGAACCCCTTAGCAGTGACCATCATGCCTGAGAAGGAACCAAGCCACCTAGACCTTCCTTTCCTGGGCCAGTTTGCAGAGAAAATACCTTCTGATCAGAGCAGACTGTCTAACAAGTAACTGCAGGAAGGGCTGTGCATACCCTAAGCGTTTAAAGTTCTCTTATAACTGTACGTTGCTGTTTTCTTTTCTCAGAGCACAGATAAGCGATGAGCTCAAGGATCTGATCCTACGCATGCTGGATAAAAATCCAGAAACGAGGATAACAGTCCCTGAAATTAAGGTAAATTGGACATCAATATTACAGCCTTTTGTTTCAGCTGATTTTTTGTTCCTTTGGCACCTCCTAATGAGCCAGGGCCACTCCTGGTGTTTGTTTTGGGAGCTCTTTCTGGCAAACTGCCTTGAAAAGGCAGCGCGCTCGTTCTACGGCGTCACTGTTCTGTCACTGCTGCTTGCTTGGGGAATATTGACAAAAGCCCTCTTGTTTACTTATTTAAATTAAAATTACTCTAAAGCTGCATGATCTTCAGCAAATCCCCAGGAGAATTAGCATTGTCATGGGAACTGCGAGCGGCAGAGGCCTCACTGTGAGCATTAGACCAGTGCTAAGGGGCTGGCAGTGCCCTCCTGCACTGTTACTCGTGGCAGCAGCCTCAAGGCACACACACACATGTTTGTTTCCATCAGCATTACTCGGAGGAAGCTTATTAGCACAGAGGATGAATAGGCCTGGGTAGAGCACAGTGCACTGTAGGGTTTGGTTCATTCTGCCTTTGCACGTGCTTTCTGTCCTCCTGTCACCCCTCAGCGCAGCCTTGGACCTGCTCAACACCGTGAGATTTTTGCAGGAATCCTTCAGCATCCCCTGCTGGGCACAAAACCCTTCTGCTTTGTCTCAGGCCAGCACCAGCACGTCTGCCTCTAAAGATGAGGGTAGGAAGGTTGAACTTTGAGCAGAAAGCTGACATCTCTTCTCTCTGTGCCCAGGAGGCCGCAGCCAGAGCTGACGGGAAGTGCTTTGGAGCTGCATGAAGCAATTTTACTTGGCAGCCCTTGCAGGCTCTTCATGTGGAACCAAAGCCCCATAAAAACCCTCGGGGAGAAGAACGGAGCAGAGTGCTGCATCTTATCCCAGCTGTGCAGGGAAGGCGCTTGGTGTGCTTGAGGACTTGTGTTTGATGCTGAAAGAGCACGTGTCCGTAGTGCCAGGCTGGGCTCTGTGCTCAGTGCCTCGAGCACTGCTTTTCTCATGTTCACCACCAAGGAAATCATCCCGTGAGAGGCAGTGGAGAGAGGGCAGCTGTTCTGTGCCATTCCCTCATGTAGGACGATGGCCAAGCAGTTTTGTGGCAGAGGAGGCTTTGGAGTGAGGGGAGCTTTTCAGGAGAGCATGGAGAAGGTAAAAGGGCTGAAGTGCTACATGAGTCCAGGTGAAAAAAAAAATCATGTGATGTGTCTTGGGAAGGAACTTTAAAAAAAAAAAAATCAGCCAGTTTGCATACTCGGTCAATTTTTTGATAGAGGAATATTTTCTGGTTGCTTCCTTGTTTACAGGTCAGGCCCTCTGGGAGAGGTTATTCCTGCAGCTTGGTGGCTCAGGCCCAGTGGCGTAGCTGTGCCACCTGGCCACAAGCTGGCCACCAACCTTCAGCAGCACAGTTGCCAAACTGCTGCCATCACTGAGGGCCCTGGCTGGTGGGGTTCAACCCAGAGAGTACAGGAGAGGCTGCGTGCAGCTGCTGCAGTGCAGACAAGATGACAGGCTCCCTCCGTGTTCATATTCACAGACCAACCCCAAGGAGCTTCTTTGCTGTGAAGTAGCACACAGCCAAGCCACCTGGCATCAGGGCTCCAGTCTTGGCTCCACGAACCATCAGATGTTTTCAAACAGCTGCTCCAAGCCTCCTCTTCATCTTCCTCCTCATCCCCAAGTTTCTTCCCTTCTCCTTTTCCTGTTTTCACGCTCTTCTCCTCCTCCTCTCTCCCTTTCACCTTGCTTACATGTAACAGAAAATACTGACGGGACTGCAAACATGTTGGTGTAGCTGGGCATTAGCCCTGTGTTGCTCCTCATATATAATCATTTATAGTTGATAAATTTCTGATGTCCACATTGAAAATAAACACAGCAAAAGCCAGAAGGCGATGGTAGGATTCTGTAGGGAGTTAGGCGGGGACAGATACCCTGACTGCTCTGCTGTTCAACATCCAAATATCTCAAGCAAATTGTTCATATGAGGAACATCGATCATACGGCTGGGCATATGGGCTTAGTGCAGAGGTTTTGCTTAAGGCTGAATGCGATGTTGTGCCTTTGAAGGGAGTTGTTATGAGCACAATTAATGATCTTTGGAAAACACAACTTAAGCACCACAGAGAAGCTCAGTGCTGAGCCCTTGGAGAAGGTGCTGGACACCTGCGTGCAACTCACATGAAGGGCACTAGGCAGTGAGTGCCGTCGGGCAGCGCTGGGGGAACAGGGAGAGCTGGTGGGGAACTTCCCTGCCTCCTTGGTGCAGGTGTGTTGAGGTCTACGTGCTGGCCACGTTACTACTCGTGTAGGCAGGCGAGCACGGCAGCAGCATCCAGACCTGGGTGCTCCATTTTAGGCACTGCAATCCTTTTTTGTGCGGATGCATAAATGGTTCTGGTTACCCCAGGTAGGGAGCACACACAGACCTAGATGAAATGGGTACACATGAGAGAGAAAGATGAAAAGGTTCTGGATAGCTCCCATTTTCAAAGCATTTCAGACTTGCCGCAGAGGACGCTGGCACAGTGGCACTGGATGTGACAATGCTGTGCTTCAGGGGATGCTGTCTGGCCAGCACCATCTTGCAGCAATTTCCAAGGGAGCTGGGATGCATCACTCTGAGTGGAAAATGGAGCACAACCAACAGGCAAACTGCCCCCGTCGGCAGTGCTGTGTCCTTTACCCTCTCCTCACCAACATTGTCACTCTCTGCTCCGGAGGGAAGACTCAGAACTGTCTGTGTCCCTCCCCATGTAGGTGCATCCCTGGCTAACCAAGAGTGGGGAGGAGCCCCTGCCGCTGGAAGAAGAGCACTGTACCGTGGTGGAGGTGACGGAGGAGGAGGTGAAAAACTCAGTGAAGACCATCCCGAGTTTGCCAGCTGTGGTATGTATAAACCACAACCACTTCCTCTGTCTAAGTCTAGAGTACGATGCCTTGCTGAAGCTCTCAGCTGGTGAAGGAGTTTTGGAGGGTACACATGTGCTACTGGCATGAGAAAACTTGAGTTTCAACTCCCTGTGAGCTTTCTGGGTCTTGGACCATGTGAGCAGTCGTGTTTTCAGCCTGCCTGTCTGCTCTCTCTAGAGCTGTAGGGTCACACACCCAACATGTCTGGCATCAGACATCCCAGAACACCAGAATTATCCCAGGTGTGGTTTGTTTCATTATCTAGAGGATTTAAGACAGCTCATTTGGAGCCTCCAAACACAGGCTCCAAACCTGGAGGTGAGCTGGCCAGAGAAGCAGGGAGAAGACATCTACTGACAGAGTACAGAGCTGGCCCTTACCTGCCAGCCCTGGGCACCATCCGTGGGTGCTTAAGGCTCTTCTGGCAGTTTGTGGGTAACCAGCTGGGGGGCTGGTCGGGGGAGCTGCCTGTGGTTAAGGTGCCTTTGTGGGGAGACCTGGAGTTCCTTGGGATAGGGAGAAAGGTGTTGAGCACAATGAGCACCCATTTTCACAGCTCTGGTGGTGTGGCATGAAGGTAACTGGCTGGGGCAGTGAAAACCCAATGAAAACCATCCTTTCCCCCTGGCAGCAGACCCTGTGTGTTGGAACACGTGGCAGCTGGCAGGACTCACCTTGCAGTGCCACCCCAGGAGAGCTCTGGTGCTGCCTCCTTCCGGGCTTGGACCACCAGGAATGTCAGGCAGCAGCAGCAGCTGCTTCAACTCTTGTCAGCAATGGTTTGTGTCCAGGGCTCTGAGCTCCCTGCTAAAGGGGATGATGTGGACACTCCTGGGAAGTAGCCGTTCTGTGGGTTTCTCTGGTTCATGCCCTAGCTGTAACACTGATAAATGTCTGTTGAATTATTAAGGCAGTTGTTGTTAGACTCTTCTGAACTAACTTCAAGGGGGTGATATGTCAGTGCTGCTGCTCTCACTGCTCTGTTCTTCTTCCTCAAAGATCCTAGTGAAGGCCATGCTACGAAAACGTTCCTTTGGAAATCCGTTCGAGGTCCAGACCAGACGGGAGGAGAGGTCCATGTCTGCTCCAGGGAACTTGCTAATGTATGTATATAAAGCCGTGCCTGGCTCTGCCACAAATGCAGGTTAAAGGTGCATGGGGAGGACAAGGGAAGCCATTTACTAATATTTTCCATAACATTTAAGGACAAAACTTACTCCTGAATCAAATACTGAGGATAAATTCTGCTTTGAGTCCTCTACAGTTAAAATACAATGCAGTAAATCAGGCTAAAGGCCCTCTTCATAGATGTAGTTCTACATCTATGTGTTTGGCCTAAGCGCTGTGATCAAAGATCAGTCAGAGACTGGAGAGCTAAAATAAGGTTAGAGTCTAGTCTGGATATATTCTGGATGGTTTAATTCTTCTCCTTTTTACGGATAATAGAAAAGGCACCAGATGAGCAGCTTGTGTTTTATAAGCTAGAAATGAGATGATGTGGTGTGTCTGGGGCCTGAGTCTGGGTGTCTGGACTGGCAGAGACACCCTGGAGACGCATGGGCAGACAGTGGAGAACACTTTCACATTGCTTCTTTCTTTGAGGAAACGTGAAGTGTTTTTTCACACAGCCAGTTACGAAATGGTGGGACACATTGCAACGGGACATTGGATATTAATGGCTGTATTGAAATTAAAAAGGGAGTAGACTGATGTCTGTTAGATTCATCAACAAGTTTTAAACTCAATGGTCCAGAAGCTCAGGAGGGGAAGGATTTTGCTGTCTTTTACTCAGTTCTTGCTCTTTCTCCATCATATTCAGAGTTAGGATTCTGGGCCACCAGTCCAATGAGTGACAGCTGGGCCGTCAGCCTCACCTGGGACAATTAGTTTTGTGTTCTCACCCTGTAGAATCTGTAAGAATCTGTTAACTGCACTTAACAAGGCTGTGTTGTCCCACAACAATTCTTTTCCACTCCAAATCATCCCAGCACCCCCAGCAGGCTCCCATGAGGGTGTATTAAGTGCCTCGCTGTACCTTAGGCAATTCAGATCTATCTGAGTCTCTCTCCCTGGTGTGTAGGGATTTAAGGGCCCAGCTGTGTATTGAGGACTCCAGTAAAGGCTTTGCCCTTAGTCTCCAGGAGCAGTTAATACCAAACACCAGTTCAGTAGTTAAAGCACCACCCCATACCTTGCCTGCCACTGTGGGGCATGTAAGAAAAGCACCACATTCACAGCTCCCTTACAAGCTTAGCATAAGGGATTTGTCCTCTCTTTATTTCCTTTGGCTCATTGCCTTCCAGCGTAGTTATCGCTAATTTGACACCAGTCCCTGGCCATATCTTCACTGTCATCCCTGGTCAGTGCATTGCATTGCTTTGAGATGAAGAAACGTTTACTAAGTTCGAAGAAAAACATGTTGTATGCCAACCCCTATCCAGGCCAGCTCTAGTTCAGAACTAGGCAGGATTTCTTTTCAAACTGATGCCTGAATTGATATTTCAAGGCTGGCTGGTCTAGAAACTTGAGTCTGTTTCCAAAAAAGAAATGTTTCCTTCCACCTTCATCTGAGGTGCTTGAAAGCTGTTGGGAAAACTTAGCCCTGCCACGCTATGGCTGGTTCCTGCGTGGAGAGAGAAGGGCACTGCATTATCTGCTCTGAACAAGTAAAGTTCATTTGATCAAATGTAGCTGTGAAGCTTTTGGTTAGCTACATTATCAAGATCAAATCATTTTTAAAAATCTTTTTTTGACCTTCAAGACAAGCTGTATGCCTCCATTTTGTCTTTTGTATCCTTTCTGAGGATAACAGTTCAATTCCTTTCAGCTCACGCAAAACTAGCGTCTTTCCCCATCTCTACTCATTGTTTGGTTTCAGTCTCCTTGTGCAGGACAGTTCCAAAAGGCTTCTGAAAACCGTATCTAATTTCCCCTGTTGTGCTGCTGTGTCAAGTGCCCTTGGTTTACCAGAACACATCAGGTTAGGCACTGGTCTGCGGTCGTGCCAGGCTGGCCTCTGCCCAGCAGGATAAATGCTTAGAGCTGCTCTGAAAAAAAACTAATGTTTTTTTTTGTTTGTTTGTTTGTTTGTTTGTTTTTAAAGAAAAAAAACTAATGAACACTCTGAATGTTCCAGTTCTCTGCTGCACTAACCCCTGTACCTAATTCTCAGCCTCATGCAACCAGAGCCAGTTTTTGTCAGTAACAATTGACTTGATCCTAAATTAATTCACGCACAACTGGAGCTTTGAGAGCCCATCTCCAAACCCTTCTGTTTAACAGCAAGGCCTTGGCTGGGGCTCTTCAACAAATAGTGTCGGTTATTAAATGCTACAGCAGGGATGGTTTTTTTAAGGAATGTGGATTATTATTTCAAACCTTGAAAAATCCTAGACTGGCTCAATCTAATTAAGGTGAATTAGATATAAATAGGTTTGTTGAACCTAGTGAAATTGATTTAAAGTGAATTGTGTCTAAATGGGAATGTTCATTGTTCGGTGATTTCTCGTGATTAGTGTTACTTCCACAGGGGCAGACCGAGCTAGACGCTGAGGTCGTTCCCCATGCCATCAAGTTCTTAATTCAGAGTGGCTTGTTGTGTAGTTAAATCACCCCTACTACTCATATAAAATCTAATATCAGTGCAAATGTTACAAATAACTTATTTCAACTGAGCACAGCACTGTAAGTCTGGATGGCTCTACATTTCCAGGACCAAGCAGGAGCAGATAATATTGCTGTAGCGTGTAGGCTCTGCAGTTACTGCATGTCAGGCACTGTTTCCACGCACATAGCAGGGCAGGTTCTGAACCCCCTCTGGAGCCCTGCTGTTTCTGACCGGTACCCACACGTTTATCAGAAACACCGCACTCAGCTGGATGGCTGCAGCGTGCCAAAGCCGTGCTGGATGCTACAGGTCTTTGCTATCCCTCACTGGTGGGGAAGGCCAAGCAGAGGGTGCAGTTTCTCCTGGTTGCTTTGATATCACCGCATTTGGCATCCTGGTTTAGTTGAACCCCACCCCGAGAAGAATGGCAGCATCACAGCCATGCTGCTCTCCTGTCCACACGGAGTTCCACCCAGCTGCTTTCTGGGTTCCCAGTATCTCCACCACAGGGCTTCTCCTCCCCAGCGACACAGTCTCTAGAGAGGTGAATCAGCTCTTGTAATATTGCAGCTCCTTCCACTTACAGGTAGAAAATGACTTCTTTGTGTTTCTGTGTAAGAAAAAACAAAAGTAATTAGAAAATCTCTCCAGTTTCACATTCAATTTATTTAATTAGGCTGCATGTGAAATTGTCTGAGCCCTGCTCACTGGCACATCAAGTGTCTTGCAGCTGTGCCCGTATTGAGAATACATTTTGCAGGAAATCCTGTGACAGCTGAGTCTGCTTTCTGGTGCCTGATGCCTAATATGTGTGTTCCTTAAAATGGATCTAACTTTTAAGAAGATAGGAAGAAAAAGGAGCCCATTGAACGCCTCACTCTTGAGGACTCAGAGAGGAGGAAACAAACAGTAAATGCCTTGGTTGAATTTTCCTTAGTTTCTGCCTGATCTCTGCACTACCCATGAGGCGTGTGCCAGGCTCCGTTCTCGGAAATGCTTCACGCAGAAGTTGCATGGGCAGAAGTCTCAGCAAGGAAGGAGGTCTTCCACGTTTGTCACAGCCTTTGTTTCCTTAGAGGACACGATTAAGACATCAGAGATTTGAAATAGTTTTTGAATAATTACTGTCAGGAGAGGAAGCTTTTTCAGCTCTCCTCAGAGCTGGAGGACGCAGTGCTCTGCTGGGTGTTGTTCACAGCTGTGTTTAGCAGCACTGAAAAGTTAAAAGGCAGCTGGTGGAATGGCAGGCATATAGACCAGAGAGCCAGAAGGGAACTAAAAGGAAGGTGCCCCCTTTCAAAAGCTCTTTTACAAGATCTGCCTCTCCCCCAGGAGCACCCCTGCACACCTACCGGCTGTGTGCGTGCTGCCAGCTCTCACTTTAGGGCTGGCTGGGGCTGGGTGTCCGGGCAGCACTGGGATGGGGCAGCCCCCCCCAGCCCTGCCTGGCGTGCAGCATCTCCCAAAAGGCACAGGGCACATCCAGGACACTCCCAAAAGGCACGTCCATTCATCGTGCCTTGCAGATCTGCAGAGCAGGGCCAGGTTCTGCCCAGTGTCTGTGGAAGATACCTGTCGTTTATTAATTTCCCCAGTTGCAGAATACAGAGGTATTTTTTAAGCCAGCGGTTTGGTGTCCAACACTGAGTTCTAGGTTTCTGTTAGTGTTCGCCGTATTTCTTCTGCCTGCTCCAGATTTCTCCTAATCGAGTCAGCGCTGGCTTCACTACATTTTATTATGCTCATTTATTGCAACTACTACCTATCAAATTAATTGCGGTGTTTTGACAGACCCAATTCACTTTCCTGTTACGGCTGCTACTGCTATTGATGAAGGGTGGTTGCATGGGTGATCAGGCTCTATTTAAAAGCCTGTCCTGCTTCCAGGCTTCCCCAAAAGGGTGAGAGAGTCGTCACTACCTATAGGGACTTTGTGACCACGTAGGGTAGGAACAAGACAGGAGGGAAAAGTGGTTAAAATGTGGCTGACAGCTGATCCAGGTCTCAGGCCCAGGAGTAGCTTCTCCCAAAGCAGCACAGAGGTACCTTCATCGTGGGAGCTTTGTGCTGAGAAGGTCCTGGGGCTTGCTGACACAGGGCAGGTCAAAAACACACTGCAAAGATCCCACTAGGCCAGCCAGGCTTTCAGCATCAGCTTTAACAAGGAAATGGCCACAGGCTGTGTTTGAATTTGTCAGGCGTCTCCACTTAAGACAGCAGCTGGTGCCCGGTGTCAGGCTCTGTAGTCCCCAGAAGGTTTCAGGTAGGTGACGCGTGGATTCTGTCAGAACAGTCAAACCCAACCAAAAGCCACATCAGTTTTCACTCTAAAGAGACAACTGCACCTTGTGGAAGAGCTGTGCCCCGCGGTGCAGGTAGGTGTTATTGGGGTCTGACTGAGGGCTGAGGCACGGGGTTTTGCTCTGGCAAAGACGCCAGGAGCGTTCAGCAGTGGTGGGAGCTGGAGCGGATTTGTTCCAGTGCTGCCAGTGCCCATCCTCATCTCTCCTGTGGGCTGCGAGTGAACATGACTGCTGCTCCATCCGCTGTTTCACTCTGCTTCCTGGGCTCGTTAGGTGCAGAAATACAAGCTCGTTTGCCTGCTGCCATCATCTTCATGATCACTTTCTTCCTTTGTCTCATTGTTTTGCTCTCAGGGACAGATTCCTCTTAAACACATCTATATATTTGCATCCATCTTTAAGGTAATTCAGTGTTTGTGTTTCCCCTAGGTGCTGTAGAAATATGTGTCCTCCCCTCAGCCTGTGTGATTTGTGCAGTAGTGAGAGCGTTTGGCTCCATCCTTCCTTCCTGTAGGAGCAATTTTACTGCAGTAGCTCTGTGTGTGTGTGACACTAATGCTTATGTATACTTTTTATTATTGCTATTTCTTGTTCTTTGGTGTCTCCTCCTCCTTTTGGGAGGGAGGCGTGAGAGAAGCAGAAAACAGTTGGGTTTAAGCAGGATTGCTCAGACCCACGTACAAGGAGCAGTAATGGAAGGATTTTGGAAAGGCTGAGACTGAACCTTGGAGTTTGGGCTCAGGCTGAATCTGGTGGTTCAGTGGAGCTGCTCTGCAGCTTCACCCTGTGACGGCTCTGGGCTGACCAAAACCACTCATTCTGCATGACCAGCCACCCAGCCTCAGCCAGGGCTTCTTATAAGATCATTTTTCAGACCAGTTACATAGACCCTTCTATTAGCAGTCCATCCAATTAACTCTGATAAATAGCAAAAGTAAGCCTTCAACGCGAGCTACAGCAAACCATTTAAAAACACTGCAGACAGGGCATTACTCGGCCTCCCGGCAGGGAAATGCTGCACACTCTGAATTTGGGGACAGCTCTGTCCCAGGGCTGTCAGAGGCTTTTGTTGGTTTCTTTCTTTTAGAAAACTGGCACGGGCCTATCCAGGGAAGTATAAAGCTCTGTCCCCAGGGCATGGAGACCAAGCAAGTGAAGTGCAAAGTCCTGTAGCGCTGCAGTGCCTCAAGCTGCAGTATTGCTGAGCTGGTTGCACGGCACCAGCACACCGGGCTGGCTCATTGCTATTCCCTCCTAGTATTAATGCTGAGCCGGGTGGAAAAAACACAGCCAGCTTCATTTTTTAGTTTTTTTCCAGTGATGCGTGCCTCTAACCTCTCTGTTTCTGTGCTGTTCATGTAGAAAACAAGGGAGCAGAGAAGGAGGCAGGGACCCGGAGCTGCCTGACGTGTGTGAAGATGAAGCGACGTCCTGAAGCCACGTGGCGCCGCAGGCTGCTCGCTCCCGTGCTGCTGCTGTTGTGCCCATCACGGTGTTGTCTAGCACGCATCCGCCCTCATCGCCAAGTCTGGGGCCTGCAAAGCAAAAAAACAAACCTGACCAACCAACCTAGCAAAGCCAACAGGAGGAAAAGAGCAGCAATAAAGAAAAGAGTGGATCCTGGGGTAGCTCAGCTGGCAGAGGGCTGGCTCGGCCTCGTGGGCAGCTGCGTTCCTCCCGCGAGGTGTCCGTGCGCTCCTCCATGTGTGCCTTGCTCTCCACTTGTGCTTCACGTGTCAGCTTTGTAGATGGGTGTCTTGACGAATGAATGTGGTTTTATTTGTAACGCAACAAACCAAACGTTGTCTCTGGGGTTGTTTGCCCTGGAGATCTTTTTCTTGCTTTTTTTGCATTCTCTATTTCAAAGATCAGGAAAAAAAAATGACATCGATGTCAGGTCTTACATCAGAGGGCGACTGTTGTAGTTAATGCACAGGTAAAGCACTTGTGTGTACCAGGACACGGTCCTGCTCCTGTTGGAGTTGGTGGCAGAATATCTGTTGACAGCAGTTGAACGAAGATGAGATCTTCCTTTTGGAGTTTGCACTGTCGATCTCTCTGCCTTTCTTTTTTTTTCTTCCTTTCCTTTCTTTTTTCCTTCCCCTTTCATCCCTGAATTTTTGCACGGTGTAAATCCTGACAACACTGATCACTTTGTTCAGGGCAGCATTGTAAAGGACGAGAACTTACCTGATATTCCCTGGAACGTGCAAGGAGCCTCTGGATGCTGTAGAGATCTGGAGCACCGGGATGTGCTTTTACACATAAAGGCTTCGTGTGCTGGGGACATCTGCTGATGAAATGGCTCTTCCCAAAGAGCCACGAGGTCACTCCATCAGCTGCAGCCAGGCCTGTGCGTGTGCGTGTACTGAATGCTGAAAAGTGGCAGGTTTGGCGTTCATGTCATTTAGGGGTGAATTCCTTTCTCACTCATCTCCTAGCTCCTTTAAAATTGCGTACCTGATGCTTTTAAACTGATTTCCTGATAAACAGCCCACACTGGGAGAGCTCTCTAGGATGGAAAACGTTGGTGGAGGGGTTTTAGAGTAAGGGAACCTACAGAACGCAAATGAGATCAATTCAAAACTTGGTCTTGTTTCTTAAGGCTTTAGTTTTTAATTTTATTTTAGGACTGGTTGTTATGCACGTGCTGATGCTGCTGTTTTATCCATAGTTTGCTTCTAACCTTGGGATTAGAAGCTTCATCTCTACATTTTGACAACAGGTGAGAGATGGCACTCAAAGGGCAAATGCAGTCACTGCAGTGGCTGCTGACTATACAGACTGTGCATAATCAGGAATTTCACTCTTGCACTCCAAGAGTAAAAGCCAGTGACATCCATCCATCAAGAGACACGTCAATATTTTTCCTGGAGCTTTAGAGGGTCTGAACGTGCCCTGGAAAGCCAATGGGACTGAATTCTTCTTGTACTTAAAGGCCACGATTAAATTTGGTTCCTGCATAATCATCTTACAGACCTTTTTTTTAGGTGAACTGTGAGGGCTTGGGACTTTTAGTTCCCTATTTTTTTGTGCCAGGGGATATGTGTACAAGGATTAGCAGTGTATAGCAGTTTTCCCATTCTGTTTGCTGTCTGTTTCCCAACATCGTTGCAGCTGAGCTTCGCTCCCAGTGCCTTCTGCTTGCTGTCCCCAGCCTGCCACCTCCCCACCCTCCCCTCGGCTCGTCCCCAGCAGCCTCGCAGTGCCAGCAGGGAGCCCAGGAGCTGTCACCAGCCTGGGCTCTGCCCCACGTCCTGCCTGTAAATATCGGCCGAGCCCCGCGGTTTGGGAAGTAGCATTGTAGGTAAGGCATTTCATCAAGGAGACCTTCAATTTTAGAATCAAGCAGCAGGATTAGATCCTGTAGGTGTTGCTGCTCTGGGGCTGGATTCATCGCATCCAGGCACTAAATGAAGCCTGGATGTGCACCTCTGCATGCTCCTACGCTCAGCATCCTCCGGGGGCTGTGGCTCTGCTCCCGCTGAGCGCCGCACGACGTCCCCACGCATCGGAGCGCTTGAGCACGTGCTTGAGCCATGTTGGCTCCTAACGAAGATTGAAGCACCTGGGGAGAGGGAAGGAAGACTGAGATGGAGCCTCGGCAGGTCTGAGAGGGCACCGGGGGCTCTGAAATGCAGGAGGGACGAGTCAGGACGGCCTGAGCTGCCTTCGTGGAGGGGACACTGTGCCTGGAGTGAGTGCGTGCGGCTGGTCCAGTCTGGGGGCAAAGAGGGTCTGCACTGGGGATAAATCATGAGGGTGCCACCAGCTTGGCCCCAGGTGCACAGCAGGACCACGCTGCTTGTTTCTGCGGGCTGCAGAGAAATGGGATCTCTAACCAGGTCCCTGGGGACTGGCCCCAGAGGCAGGAGCACGGCCCCAGGAGCAAAGGGAGTTCTCTCCCCAACGTGGGTCTGCTGAGGTGTAAGAAATACTTCGGTGCTGCTCAAAGAGCTCCAAGGCTGCAAGTGTGGTTTTATTTATTGTATTTTTAACAGACAGTAAGAATAATTCGGGAAGGGGGAGAGCTTTGCTGACCCAGCTGGTTGTTGGGGTTACTCTAAAAATGCCCACGGGGTGCGGTAATGGGGTGAGGCTGCAGGAGGCTGTTCTCAGCCTCAGTGAGACCAACCAAGCCATCAATTACAGTTCGGCTGTGTCCTGTTCTGGCGGTAACTAGAGCACTGCTTTAGTTTTGGAGGGTAATGGGGGAGAACGGGTGTGTTTTTGTGATTATCATTGCCCTTTTTGGTGAAAATGCCTCCTTCTGGAGGCATTCCCACAGGAAACGAAATGAATTAACCAGCTGAGCTTTTGTCAGACCCTTGCTTCTCCAGCAAATCTGCCAGCCGTGGGGGTTTTCCCTTTATACCTCCAGAAGGCGCGTTGCGGGCGGCAGCCTGAGAGCTGCACAGGGCAGGCAGGAGCAGCATTAGCTGGGTGCCCGAATATTTGAATACGGGTGTCTGAATGTGTGAATATGGGTGTCTGAATGTGTGAATATGGGTGTCTGAATGTGTGAATATGGGTGTCTGAACATTTGTCTCAGTTCTCTGTGAGCAAGGGATAGGATTCGGCGTGGCAGGGCTCCTGTGAGCAGTGTGAGGAGGTGCTGGAGGCACTCGCTGATGCTTTAAAAAAGCAAACAATCCTTTTGTTCCTCTCCACATCCAACGTTTGTGCTGTGCCCGTGAGACCCAGCTCCTGACTGCTCTGAGCAGCTGGGGTGTGCAGAGGGCTCCTCTTCCCGAGGGCACACCCGGCCCCGGGCAGCATTGCTGGGCCTGCATCGAGACACTGCGAGGGAGATTTCTCTTCTGGAGCAAGTGCACACCTCCAGGCACGAGGGAAACAAAATCACCCGCAGCACCACGCGTGTGCTTTTTTTTTTTTCCAGTGCCTTGAGATACAAGAAGCAATCCGCACGGCAGCTGGGTTTTCTGGACAGCCAAGTGCCACAAACGTCTCTGCCAGGTTCCCATTGCTGTAACGCAGAGGGTGGGTCAGGCCAGGTGTGTCCCACACTGGTGGCATCAGCAGTGTGTCCTAATCCACGCTGCAGATCAGAGACACGCTGGGGTTTGAAAGAGGAGAGCTCAGTGGGAAGCTGGCACTGAGGAAGCGGTGCAGGGCGCTGCTGCGGGTCCAGCCGGGGATGGGACCTGCCTGGGGCATCACCGGGGGTTGTGGCACTGTCCTCGATGCAGAGAGAGGTTGGGGTTGGGTTTTTTTTGGCCATGGACACCATGGCAGTTTGTGTATCTTCTCCATGCATGTCCCTGTGGTACGTGCTGAGCAGCCTGGCTGTGCGAGTTAAATGGATTATTTATGGTGCTCAGCACCTCCACCGGGGATTTCCAGGAGCAGAGCCCACATCTTCGCTGTTTTCACCATCGTTCTGCTTGGTGTGGCTGTCCTGCTGCATTACCAGGGGGTCCTGCTGCATTACCAGGGGGTCCTGCTGCAGTAACAGGGGGTCCTGCTTTGGGAGAGGCGATCTCAGCGGTGTGGGGCGGTGCTGGCAGAGGAAGGGCAGGAGCTGGGTGAACAGGAGGGCGTCTGCCGAGGAAGGAGGGCTGCAGGCGGTGGTGTGGAGCCCTGCCATGTCTGGCAGGGGGTCTGGAGGCTGGTAACAGATTATTTCCTGTGTATATTTAACCTGCTCTGGGTACCAAACTTCCCCCCCTTACCAGGGTGTGCGTGCTGTGGTGTTTGCTGAGACACCCGGGCCCTCAGGCAGTGACCGCAGACGTTGGTAGCACACCAAGTGTTCCAGAAAGCTCTGTAAATTCAAGCAAAAAGACAAACTGGGACCTTTCGGGATGTAATTCCGATCCTCTGTGCCGTAACCTCGCTGCTGTGCACCTGGTTCCTACGCCTGGCCTGTTGGTGTTTGAGTCTCTCCTTCCCCTCGGTGTTAACTCCTTGGCTCTGTTCGTGCTCCGCTCTGACTCCAGCATGAGGTACCTGCACTCGGCACCCCGATGGCGCGTGGCCGTCACACTGTAAATATGTACCATGAATAGAGAGGCTATTTTTTGCATGCTTTTGTACTCTAGAACCAAGAAGAAACTGACAATAAAGGCCGTAGAAAGGAGGCTTGGTGTGCGCGTGGTTCCTGAGGGGGCAGTGCGCAGGCGGCTGCTGCTCTCTGGCGTTAGAGGCCTCTCGGCAGCTGCAGGGCAGAGCTGCCCCCAGCCTCCTGCCGCTCCTCTCCGGCCTTGTCCCCTCCCTGGATGGAGTTGTTTTGCCTCAGGTGTTCGCTTCCAGCGCCTCCTGCCACGTGCTCTGCAGGAGAGCGGGGCTCTGCCAGTACCATTCTGCCTGGAGAGACCCAACGGCTAATTGTAAGCACGTTAATTTATCGGTCTGTAAATTGGCAGCACCTCGTGAGCCTGAATGTAGAAGGATGCAAGTCACAAATTGGGCGTAGTGAGCTGACCTGCACGGGTTTGATCAAGTTTTGTCCGTGTGCCGCGATGCCCTGGGCTGTGTTCGCCTTCCTGACGCCTTCGCAGCCAGGTCCCAGCAAGCTGCACAGGACGAACCGTGCACGCTGCAGACCCCGCTCCCTGTCCCCTCGCGCCAAGCCACGGCTGGTGACAGGAGCGGGGAGACCCAAACCTCCCAGCTAGGACACGTCCCCGCTGCTCCTCGGCAAGCAAAACCCGCTGGTTATTATGGAAACTTCACAAAAACCTTACATGCAACCAGGGACGTAGCCAGCATCACCTTCTAGATGCAGCCCTAATTAAAAAAATAAAATAAAATCGGGGGTTGGGTGGATTTTATAAGCCACGTGTGTTGATGTCTCCCACAGGGGTGCGTTTTTGGACGTGTCCAGTCTCTGCGCTCTCGTTACGGGCCAGCCCCTCCCCGGGGTGTCAGCGAGGATGGCTGCAGCTCTCCCCAGGCCAGGGGACGCGCTGCTTCGCTCCTTTGTGCTCAAGGCAGCCACGGACCAGCCCTTTCAACTTTTATCCCCGTTTTTCCCCCAGTTGGGTTTTCTAGCGTGTTTCCAGCACACCAAAGCCCAAGGGAGCAGCTGAAGGGCTGAAACCAGCTTGGGGCAGGGGCGTGCGGGGCTGCGGCCATCGCGACCAGCCGGAGGAGGTAAGGGCTGCGCCGGGGGTGTGGTGTGGGATCGGGGACACGCCTTGGGAAGCAGAAATGCCCCGTGATGGGGACAGAGGTGTGAGAGAATGACACCAAGACCCTGTTAATGCACAAGGATTTCAGCTGCTGCCCGGGCCCCTCTGCTGCATCAGCTCCCCCGGGCCGGTCACTGGCCGTGCTCGCTGTCCTCTCCCCACTGTACTCTGTTAATTTTAGGATCTCGCTGGGGTCTCGGACTGGGTTTAATCGGGGCAGGGTAACGGCCTGAAAGCTGCTCCTCCTTGTTTCCTCTCAGACTGTGTTTCCAAATGGCTTGCCCGAGCAGTAAATTATAACGTCACGCCTATGACCATGTTCGTTAAGAACTGACTTCTCCCCCAGCGCTGTGCCGAATACTAATTATTAGAAATTAAGGTGACATGAAGGAATAATAATCGGAGTAGCAGGAAGAATGACAGGCTGGGGCCATGCAGAGCAGGGCAGCGGGGGAATTTCCTTTCTGCAGGGAAATGAGAGAGAAAATCCCCGCCGATAGCACGGGGAGCACGGGCTGTCCGCGGAGAGGGCTCCCCATGCCCACTGCCCCCAGACCAGTGCAGGTCCACCAAGGGGCCCGCACACCTCGCGCAGCTCCAGCCTGCCAAAATCCGCTTGTCAAAGCGCTCTCCTTGGGGTTTGTGCTGCTCCCCACCCTCCAAGCTGCCTCCAAGGCTTCCCCCTGGCAAAGGCTGCTTAATCTCGCTCCTCTTCCCTGTTGTTTAACCATGGGGAAAAAAGAAGAGCTTACAAGTGAAAGCCTTCCCTTTGTTCCCACGTATTTTAAGGATTTTTTTTCTTTGCCTAGAGTACAGCAGAGCAGGGGAAAGCTGCTCATCGTTTCCTTTTCTAAAGCAATTCCCAGGGAGGCTCCGCAGCGCAGCAGCAAGCGCCAGGAGCCTCCGGCACTGAGCTCTGACCGAGTTTCTTCACTCGAGTGAATCGGACGCTTGGCCGCTAACGCGATCCGAACGCGCATTCTCTGCGCCCCATTTCTTTTACTGCCTTCAGGAGGAAGCCAGGGAGGGCGAGCAGTGCAGCCACACAGAGAGGGAGACCCCGTCACGCTGTCTGTCCTCTCTGCTCTGGGTCTGATTTTGTTCCAGCAGCGGGACCTTCTCAGGGCTGTTTGGAGCAGGGCTGCTCTCTCTTGTCCCACGCTGGCCAAAACCCAGAACGTTTGGCAGAGCGGGGGGCTCGCCATGGTCACAGCAGGGTGTGAGGGCACATCCTGCGGACAGCTCCTCCTTGTCCTGTTTGTCCCTTCAGCCCTGCTGCAGGATGGGGACTAGGAGGGATCTTTTTCCTCCTTTTTTTCCCCCTTTGCACCTCGCTGCGAAGAATTTCCCCGTCCCATGCATGTGAGTCCCCCAGGGACCTCGCTGCCGATGTTTCCACCTCAAGATATTTACACCAGGAGGAGGGGTTGGTGCGCGTGCATGCAGAGGATCCCAGGCCATTACCTCAGGATGGCAGCAGGTAAGATGACTTGTTTGGGATGCAGAAAGCTTTTGTTAAAATGTGAAAAATAAAAAAAAAAAAACAAAACACAAAACTGATGTCATTGTAGGGAGCAGAAAGGGAAAGGCGTCTGCAGAGGGGTGTGGGGTTGGTGCTGCCAGAGCCCGATGTGCCCGGGGCCCGTCCTTGGGCTGTCCCAGCTCGGTGCCCTTCACCTTTCACATCAGATCTTGACCTGAACGGCTGTCAGCTGCAAATCACACTTTGACATTCTTATGGCTGTATTTATTTATTTTTTAGTAAATATTAAAATAAACAAATGCTACATTGTGTTCAAAGTTAACATTAAGGCCGCAAAGATACCCTCTGTCAAGTCATCCCACCAAAAATTCATTTTCAGTCACTACTCTCAGAGCTACACTCGGCAGAAAACCAAGGCTTTGTTCCGCTCCCTACTCCCGTACTTGCCAAGTCGGCACACACTGACAGAGGTCAGCAGAAGCACAGCAGCTTTCAGTCCAGGTGCTGGCAGGATCAGAGGAGCGAAGGCATCGGGGCAATGCTTGCAGGAAGCTAAGCCGCTATCGTTACAGGCGAGCTGTCTGCACGTTTTTTGCCTCCTTTTCGGAGCGTCCATCCCAGTCACTCGTCTCCCCTCTTTATCTTCTTGCTTTTCTCCTTGACCTCTCTCAGCACGTCCTGCAGCTTCTTCGAGTTCTGTGTCAGGAAGGTGAAGCTCTCCCTGACGTTGCTGGTGCCCGTGCTCCCGGCAGGTGTTCTCCAGCCCCTCGAACCACTGCAGGATCCTCTCCAGCTCGGCCTGGACGGCCTTCTGCTCCTGCAGCTCGGCTCGCAGCGCCTGCCCGGCGGCCGCCTCGGCCCTGCACCGCTGCTGCAGGTGAGAGGCCTCGTCCTGGAGCGCCTGGAACTGCTCCCGGCTGTAGGGGTACTGCCGGTGCACCCTGTCCTCGGGCAGCAGCACATGTGGGGGGATGCTGAGCACCAGCTGCAGCAGCACCTCCTCCATCTTGCCGAAGAGCTGGTCGAAGTGCTCCTTCATGAAGCGCAGGAACTTCTCGGTGCTCTTCCTGACGTCCAGGCGGCTCACCCTGCCGCCCGGCGAGGCCTCCAGCTTCTTCAGCACCACGCCCTCCACCACCGCCATCATCTCCAGCAGGTAGTCCTGGAACGCCAGGTAGATGCGCAGCATGCAGGTCTGCGGCGTGAACCCGAAGAACTGCGCCTCGTAGGCCATGGGGCTGACCGACATGGCGCCGGGGGGCCGCGGGGGGCCCTGAGGGAGCTCTGAGGGGAGCCTGAGGGGCCGCGGGCGGCTCTGACGGGCGCTGAGGGGGCTCTGAGGGACGCCTCAGGCGCCGCTTCCCGCCTCGCTCGGCTCCGCCAATCAGCGAGCAGCACCCGGCCGCGCCGCCCAATCCCCGCCCGCTGCGGCTCTCCTGGGCGGGAAAGGCGGGGACGGGGCGGGCGGGCTCGGGGCTCGGCCAATGGGAGCGCGGCGCGAGGAGGTTGGGGCGGAAGGGGGAGGGGAGGGGGGAAGGGGCGGGGCCGGAAGCGGAAGTGGCGGCGGCGGGGCGGGGGGCGCCAAGATGGCGTACCAGACGTTCCGGCAGGAGTACCTGCAGGTCCCGCCCGTCACACGGGCCTACACCACGGCCTGCGTGCTCACCACCGCCGCTGTGGTGCGTGGGGGCTGGGGGGGTCTCTGGGGGGGATGTGGGGGCCCTGAGTGGGATGTGGGGGTCGTGAGGGGGCCCTGAGGGGTGGGGCGGGCTGTGAGGGGGCCCTGAGGGGGCTGTGAGGGGAGTGGGGGGGCTCTGTGGGGGCCGTGGGGCTCTGTGGGGGCCGTGTCAGCTTCCCGGGGCGCTCACTGCGCCTCCCTCTGCTCTTCCCTTGCAGCAGCTGGAGCTGATCACGCCCTTCCAGCTGTATTTCAACCCCGAGCTCATATTTAAGCACTTTCAGGTGAGCGTTCCCTGAGGGGGGGGGGGGGGGGGGCAGGGGGTTAAAGGTGCCCGTTGGTTGGGGTCATCTGCTGGGGAATGGAGGCTCACAAGCCGTGCTGGCTCCTCCTGTCAGAGGTGTACGTTAAAAACTAAAAACCCTAATGTCTTCATTAGGGTTGAGATCGGTGGATGGGAGCCCAAGCATTAATCTCATTTACTGTAAAGAATTTTTCAGTTGCACCATTACTTTTCTTTTTATTTAGGATGTAAAAATGAGATGTCATGTCTAAATACCTTGTTTCTGTCTTGTTTCCAGGTATGGAGGTTAATCACAAACTACTTATTCTTTGGACCAGTTGGCTTTAATTTTTTATTTAACATGATCTTTTTGTATCCTTCATCGGGTTTGTGTCCTCTCCTTAGAAAGCACAGCTCCGGAGTGTAGGTGTGTCACTGTGTGTGCGGGTAGCCAAAGGCTCAGTTCTGCTCCACTGGACTTGCCGGGAGCTCAGCACTGCTGACATCACCCGTGTCATGGACATCAGCAACATCTCTGTAACTAGCCAAGAGGCCTGCCATTTATTTCTGTAGCGTCAAGGCTTTGTTGTACAAGCCTGATCCTTCATGGGTTTTGCAGCGAGTTGGCTCTGAAACTGGGAATTTTCTCCCCTGTAACATTTTACTCCTGGGTCTGATCTCGCTGCTGAGGTGTCCAGAGTGAGCCAACTAATGGACTGAGTTGATGCCTGAGCTTAGGTGCGTGTTTTGCATAATTGAAACCTTCTCTCTTTAAATTCACTTGCTATCAAATTTTCCTGACCTGTGACTTCAGATACCGTTACTGCCGAATGCTTGAAGAAGGCTCTTTCCGAGGTCGGACGGCAGATTTTGTATTTATGTTCCTTTTTGGAGGACTTTTAATGACTGTATCCTTCCTGGTTTTATTCCAAGCTACTTCAGGAAATCTACCACGCTGTTAATTTCTCTTAGTTCTCAGATGACAGCATGTTTGTCTTGTAGCTTGCGGAACAGTAGTACTTCTTAAAGTGTTTTTTAATGCTTATTGGTTGTCATTTAATTTAATTAACATTTAATGCTGTTAATTACTGGGCTGGTCTTCTACCTTCTGCTGCTCAGCACGATTACAGAAATGAGATCCTCAGAGGATGGCGCTGCTCAAGTGCATAATTGTGCCCAGGTTACCTAAGCAATGCTATTGCTTCAGTGATTTCACAATAAACTCTATTTTAAAGAGATTATTCATGCTGTGGGCACTGAATCCTGATGTAAGTGTTGAATTTGACCATAGATCCAAGGTACTTGAACCTGGGAATGTAGAAGGGAGAATTGTATGGAAAACGTGGGATTACAGATCAAGCTGATGAATTCTTTCTGTGCTTGACTTGAGAACAACGACTTGGTGAACTGTTTCCTTTAACCACCCCTCAGCTTTTTGGCCTGTTTGTAAACCTGGTGTTCTTGGGCCAGGCGTTCACGATAATGCTGGTGTATGTCTGGAGCCGCAGGAACCCCTACGTCCGCATGAACTTCTTTGGTCTGCTCATTTTCCAAGCCCCGTTTCTACCGTGGGTATTGATGGGCTTTTCACTGCTTTTGGGGAACTCCATCATCGTGGATCTTCTGGGTAAGGAGTTGTTCAATCACAAGGATCTGGTCCTGCTGGTGTTTTACATGAAACAAGGAGCTTGGGGATAAAACCTGGGACTAAATGCTTTCTCGAGGCTTACCATTAGTCTGATGTAATATTAGTGTATTTATACCAGGCTTCTCTGATTTCTAAACGTTGCAGCACTTTTCTTTTTTTTTTCTGTAACAAGGATTAAAAGAGCTTCTGAGGCTTTGGCTCCTTACTGCTAGGAATCAGTGAAGTCTTAAGCTGAAGGAATAATATCAGCACAGATGCACAATCTAATTATTGATGCGAGACTTTTGGTATAGAACCTCTTATAATTGCTAGTCTTAATAACTCTATTAACACCTTAATGTCAGGATGTTTTACAGTGACAGCTGCTTTCCTTGTGGAAGCTTAGCTTATCATCTGATGTCAACGTGCTTCCTTGTTTTTTGTGTTTCTATATTTTAATATTTCCTGTGAAGGAATCAATGTTTTTTTGTTTATTTTTCCTGAAGACTCTTGTGAAGCTCTTGTAAGTCATAAAGAAGCACTGGAGAAATAACCATTTGATATTTCTTTATTAGGCATTGCAGTTGGGCATATATATTTTTTCTTAGAGGATGTCTTTCCCAACCAGCCTGGTGGAGGAAGGCTCCTGAGAACACCATCTGTCCTGTAAGTACTGGTTTCTCATTTGGAACGGGTATAAAACAGGGCTGGCGTGAAAGCTCTTCGTAATTCAGTCCAGCTGACTCCTGGTAAAGAAGGCAGCTTGAGACAGAATTGCGGAATGATGCACTCACTGTTTTATTTATCTCCTGTTGCCAAACAAAGGAGGGGATGGCGCACAGGTGTGTAGGTGGCTGGTAGCCTGAGGGGAAGGGCTGAAGGGTTCCTGCAACCCCCGATGTCTTTGGTAACACTCGGTAGGCTTTGCTGAGCTCTGCCTCTTGGTGGCACCAGAGATGCGTCTCACTGGGCTGTGAGGAGCAAGTCCAGTTAGGTATGAGCAGGGCGATTGTGAAATGCGGTGCAGCTAATGTTTGCTGTCTGTAAATCAACCTCCTTTCACAACCTTTGCAGAAGGTGTCGGTGTTTATAGCACCGAGCACTGTTCAGCTGCCTCTTGCACAAAGGGCTGCAACTGGAAGCTGATGTAGCTGACATCAGAAGGCGGGGTCTGTGAGGCTCTTGGAATGGAGCTGAGCTGATTCTCTTCTCAGTAATTAAAGTGCCATATTTAGGCTCATTTAACTGATTGGTCGAGTACACGTGCAGGGAGAGTTCCTTGTTCAGTAGGGCTTTGCCTTCAGCAGCTGTTCTGGGCAATCATGCAGCAGGAGCTGTCCTGGAACAGCTGCGCCGGTCTCTTTTGGTAGCTCTGTGCTTCTCTTGGCTGGCTGCAGGCTGTGCGTGGTGCAGGCTGCCTGCCCGAAAATGCAGCCTCAGGCAAATGAGGAGCCCAATTGCAGGTTTGTAATGGGAGAGTGCTTGAGGTTTCTCTTTTCCCATATTCACACCCAGCTGTGTGCAGGAGGAATCGCCAAGCTGCCAGAGCAGTGCATGCTGCCTCGGTGGCTTTCTTCCTCTGTGGAAAAAGTGTCACCCTGCTCTCAGGGTGCCAGTTAAATCCCTTTATGTGTGTGTTCAGAAGGCTGCTCATTACTCGCCTGGGTCCAGATTTGTGGACTTTTTTCCCAGATTCATTAATTTTCTTTGATGTGTCAGCTGTAATCCTCTAATACTCTTGGTATTTTCCATTTTCCCTACTCTGAAAATACCTCTGAAACGGCCTGTCACTCCTGTGAAGAGAAATAATCCCCTCAGCTACTCTAAGGACTGTCTTAAACATTACTTTTCAGATGTCGTGGATATGATAGTTGTTCTTACACAGCCTGTGATTTATTTTTTTTTCCTGATTTGGTTTGAAAGCACCCACTACACTGTTGTTTCTGGACAAAAAAAAAAAAAAAAAAAAAAAAAAAAACTATGAAGAGAGGAAGGAATATGAAACTAGTTATGAGGGTTAAAATAACATACAAGATAAAGCATGAATATTATGTTTTTGTAAATTGGAAACTCCTGGTCTCTAACGCTGTCTCAAACATACAATATTCTGTGGATTTCAAGTCTGCCTGTCAGTGCCTGCGTCCTATCTGTGAAATTGAGATAATACCGACTGGTTTTGACTCTTACTTTGTCTGCCTCTTAAGGCATAAAGAGTACTTCAATATTCTGTTCATGTTTTTCTCTCTTAGCCAGTCTTGAGGAAACATTCTAGCTGTATGAAATTCTGCCTTACACTGGAGATGGAAGTTTTAACTTCCAGTTAAATCTCATCAGTCTCGGTTGATTTAGCCACATAATTCTAGACCTCCTTCCAGATGGCTCCTAATTGGAGAGCACGTGTGACTTGGGTATAAATCAGCGGTGCTCTGGCAGGCAGCTTCTGAGGGAGGGCAGCGTACGCGTGTAGAATTTGAGCAGTCTGGATTTTATTGTGAAATGTGTATTCTAAAGAAAAAAAATATATTTTCCAGGAAAGCAATATTTGATACGCCAGAAGACGATCCTAATTACAACCCCTTGCCAGAAGAACGGCCAGGAGGATTTGCGTGGGGAGAAGGTCAACGCCTTGGAGGCTAGCAGGGGGCTGTGCCAAACCCCAGCGACAGCTGGCAGAGACTGACCTGACGTTCTGTACCGGGGAGAACCTCGTTCCCCGTTGTGGAAAGAACACTTTTCAACAGCTCTATGGTTTTGAATACAAGCACTTTATGAAATGGCAGTCTAATCCAAGACGCTTCCA